AAGGGAATAGGCAGCTCAGAACAGTCTCCTCTCCCCAGTACAACTACACTCTGCAAGAAAGAGTGGTACAAAGAAAGGACAAATGGAAATCTGCTTTGCTCTATCAGGCACAAGAGTAAAGACAAAGCTAAAGAGAGGCTTTCTTCTCTGCTGGCACTGTAACAGCTCTAGTACTTGTCAAAGTACTGTTTGGTCCAAAACACCTCAGAATACCTCAAAACTGAGGAGGATCACAAGTATGCTTTTTCACCTTCCATTCATGGGTGACACTGAAGTTTTAACATGTTCTAATTTTTAACTAACTTCCTTCCCCACTTAGCACACCTTCACTTGCACCTCTCATTCCTAGAGAAAGGTTTTGCATTGCCCTGTTTCAAACATTTGGCCTGCATACCAGTGTGTCCTGAATCACACATATCCACAAGGATCACTTCATTCTCAACATGTTATTTTTCCCCAGAGCAAACTCAGATGCTCCTATTGCTCTGTAGGATCCTGCTGCCTATGCACCTCAACTATACTGCCCACTGAATTGCTTCAGGTGCAGCAGCCCCAGTAGAAATGCATTACGCTACAGCCTTATATTATACAGAAAAATGCTTGCTTTAAGAGCCCAGTGGTTTTTTGGATATTGCATTACATGTGAATTTTAAATGGAAAAAAAAAGTATTTTTCTGAGATTTAATACCACAGTGAATCCTGAGAAGATTACAAACTACAAAGAGTTGAGAAAAAGAAACAAAAGTAGAAAAACAAACAAGAAATCTCTACTTAGCAAGTCTTTGTAACGTGTATAATCACATTCAGCACTCAGTTTATTCAGCAGAATATGAGAGCACACGAAAAGTGTTCCTGGGTAAGAAAAGAGCCGATTAAAAAAGCAGCATGCATACTTATTCCTTCAACTGTGCACACATCAGTACCAAGCAGCTCCTCACTTCTTGTTCTCTCATGCCACAGACATGTGGCCAGGACACAGAAGTCTCAACCTTTGCTTGCTGCTTCAGGGAGCCACAGAGTCCCCAAGCTTGCAAGATGTGAAGAAGGGCACCATGCAGGCTTCCACCACAGTGCAGTACTGACAGTACTAACTGACAGTAGGGTGCTTCCCCAGGGAAAAACATAAATCTTAAAAAATGCAAGAAAGCTGGAATGAGGAACAAGCGTTAGAAAATGGCAACACATTGTGTAAACATGAAGAGTTTTACATGCATCCAAGCAGACAGTTCCTAGAAGCTGCTGCATATATGCTAAAGTTGTTGGGGAAAAGAAAAAAAATCGTCCAAACCCACTATGGGTTCTCAAAATACAGAGACCAACAAACAAGCTGCTCTCTCTCCCTCTGTTTCTCTTTTGTTTTTTAAAGCTACCTCTACCGTTAAAATTTCACTGCCATTCCCACTTCCAATGCATATCATATGATTGAAAGGACAGGGCAGCTACCACTTTTTAATCAGAACCCAACAGTTCTGATCCAGATTGAGTGCCTTTAGCCTATAAATTGTTCAATTCTTTATATACCTACATCTGCATATAGAAATATAATATGTATCAGAATAAAATGTATTTTGAGAATTCCCAAACTGTGTAACTTCCAGTGGACTTTTACAACGGAGCTGCAATGTATCAGCAATACAGTAATGCAAACAATTACTCCACAAGACTTTTGAGATTACTAATAAAATTAAGAAATCTAGAATGGGTCTTTAAAAAAAAAAGAAAAAACAAAAATATTCCCTTCCTCACAAAGAGAATACCTCCAAACTACAGAAACTTCAGCACTACAAGGAATTTACATTTTCATCTAAATCTTTAAAGCCCATTATTTCGTCAGATTTGAGAAAAGAATCCTTTCACCCCACCAGCCATAAATTATTCATTAATTCTGTTTGTAACTTTGTAACTGAGCCCAGATGTTTCTGCTGGAGCAGCATTCCAATAGGAAAAGTTAAATATAGAAAGTTGTGGGGAGGGAGCAGACCACTCTCTCCCTACCACAACATGCACAAATATTAACTTGAAAGAAAATAACGAAAACATTTGAAAAATATTCTGAATATGTAAGTCTGTGAAATGCCACAACATGAAGCCAGTTTGATCACAACATCTCACGTAAAAGGGCCTAGGTGCATTGCACTTGGGTGCAGCTTACATTACCACTTTCTCCTCTAGGAAAGGTGCCCTCACTTCCACTCACCAGAATAAACAAGAAAATTTACAACCAGAGTAGTACTCCTTGCCATGCGCCATCTACAGACATAAATCAAGACTTAAGTTCTCAATTACAAGAAATACTTGCCAACCTGCTACCAGCGGCAATAATCACATTGATGAAGAACTGGGAACATCCTATGGAATTTCTTATAGAACTGACAGAGGAACTTACTGGCGGAAGTTTTCAGCCTCACGCTCCAGTAGAACTTCATCAGTTTAACACTAGCAAAGATGACTAATTTAAAATCCATCAGTAGAACACAGCCTTGTTAAACAAAATGGAAGGTACATCCTTCAGCCATCCATTTAGACACTGTTTCTAGTACTCTCTAGCAACGAACTTAAACTGACTTGGAAATGCCTGTTTTGAATTGGAAACTACCCCTAATCACTAAATTGTTTGAAAGTCTGAAAGATAGCATTGAAGAGCACAGAGCCACGTTCTGTTTTGGAGACTACTTTGAGGAATTCAACACGTCAGTTACAAACAATAATCACAGTAGAGATTTTGAGAGATCATCTACTCCTTTTTACTCTGTTCCAAGGAAATAAAAATGCTATTTGAATCCCTACTCGTCTGGCCTGCTCTTAAATATTTTCACTGTAAGAGATTGGGTATGACTGTACAGAGAATGATACCATTACAGACGAGTGTAGCAATGACACTACTGCCTTGGTACCAGCTACCAGTTGGTGCCATTCAACTTTGCTTCACTTGCAGAGTAGCAGCTGAGTGACTTGTATGCAAATTCTGCCCTGCATCTAGGGTAGATTTTGCAAAATAAGTCTAACTGTTAACAGAAGCATCATCTGCCAGCCTGCAAATAGGCAAATAAATCTCAGCAAGCAGACTATTAGATAACTTAGAACACAATAAAAATCTGTAGACTGATCCAACAACTTGACTGAAGACATAACTTCAGCAGGAGAAGGCATTTTAGCACTAGCTGAATGTAGATAAAGTTAGAAATAATGGAGTGATAGCACAGGTCAACAACCCTAAGGCAATAAATATCTGGGTTTTTTTTCGTTGTTTTTTTTTTTTTTTTTTTTTTTTTCCCCACTCATTGTTATTGCCAGAAATCATCTTTATTTCTAGTAGCTAATCAAAGTTAGTACAAATAACAGCTATCACAGCATGTCTGCTATGGACAATGACCTCTTTATTTTGCTGTGTAGACAGACCTTAAGGACATCTCACTTCTACTCCAGAGATCAGCTGGAAAGCAGCCAATGAAAAGAAAACCAGAACAAATTTTATTGAAATTAATCACCCCAGCAGAAACTTACAACCAAATCCACCTCTATGAAGAAATGATTCCTCTCCACCTCCTGAGGAAAGACAGTTAAGCAAGTGAAACTTACAAACTGGACCCAGTTACAATGTGTGTGGGAGACAGAAGGCGACAAAAGATCCAGAGGCCATTAGAAAATAAATACTAAATGTCAAAAAGTGGAAAATATTCTCCAAAATGTTTTAGAAGCCAGGAGAGGAGGGGACACAGCACAGCTGTGAAGAATGAGAAGGAAACAAAGTAGAAGAAATAAAACTACATTTTGATTGTCCATTTTGGAGGAAAAAACCACTGTTCTACTGTAAGGTGGGAACAGTATAGCAAGACAGCTTTTAATCTCCTTTGCACTATATGAATTTTAAGAGCACTGCAGAGCAATATATTTCTTGTTCAATGAAACCAACACCTGCTGTATTTTCTGGTTTACGCATAGTAACAGAAGCTGCAAGAAAGTTTCAATTTGGACAAATAAAGTTAGAAAGCGAAACATCATACCCAATGCACTTTACAAACAAAGTCTCAGCTGCAAATGATATAAAGTCTAGTTGTTCAAAACTACTTCTTCTAGGTTGCCCTTGTTTAAGCAGAGAACCCTTATGAAACTGTCTGTATACCTCAATTTGTTTTTAATTTCCTTTTTCCACAGGTACTGTGTTTGAAAATGGGAATAAAACCTTAACCTAAAAGATACTCTAACAAGAGTTCAGCAGGCAACTTGCATACATATAATTACACAAATAATTTGTATATAAAGATGCTTATGGGAGAAGTCAGCCACACTTAGACCTACACATTTATATGTCCTGTTACTTAACAGAAAAATAAAAGTCACAGGGAAGAATTTCTAGTTTAATCTACTATAGTAATCATAGCAATTTAAACAACCAAAGTCTAAAAATGTCCAGAGAATCTCACATGTTCAAGAGTCTTATCTTGCCTACTGTATAATCAATGGATGTTAAGATGTACAATCAGCGGATATTAAGATGTTATAATCACAAAAGAACAAGAGAGTTAGGCAAAGTAGACTAAGATAATAAGGAGAATAAATGGAAGGCTTACCCGTATGCTAGGCTCACCTACAGAAAACACCAGAAAAAGAGATCTCCAAACAAAATCCTTCCCCACTGGTAGCCAGCTCTTAAATAGGTCTAGGAGGGGTGGATTCTGGCTCCACCCTTCCGGCAGCACAGCTGAATTGCCTTCACCTGTGCTCCTCTGGTTGACTCACGGCTCACCTCAGGTGATCAATCAGAGGTTCAGGCCGTGACTCAGCAGTTCCCATAACACCCACTCTCAATGCACACATCGAAACAGGTAATATTCCTGCAGAATTAGGACCAGACAGGTTTCTGCTATAAAGTTGAGGTTATTTGTTGTTGCTGTTGTTTTTTAAACAAATGAAAGACTTGTTCCATTTTCTTTCCATAAAAAATAACAAATATACTCAACATCTAAAAACAAAAGAAAGAAAGAAAAGAAAATGTTTACTTTGGTTGTGCTAAGCAGCCAGGTGCTATAATACTGCAAGCTTCATCTGGAGTCTGCAGTGCAGTAAGTTCCACCATATTAACCATCACATCTGTCCTGTGGCCAGGAAGCTTGGGAAGCATAGAAAGTATCTTCTCTGCAAGATTGTCACCATGATGACCAACTGCTCCTGTGAGGAAAAAAAAAAACAAAAACTGTCAGGTACACAACTAGAAACAAACAAAAAACCCCAAAAACAACAATACAAGGAAAAGAGAGCAAAATAATAACCACATGTTTTGGGGAGAAGGACACTGCTTTGCATAATAAAGTTTTTAAATAAGATTTGCAAAGATTATTGAAATAGCAAGGAATTTTTTAAAAAGCATTTAAATACACAGGTATACATACAAACTATACTTTTCTGCTTTAACTAAAATGACTGTGTCTAAAAGGGCTGTGTGCAACCATATACTATACAACCATATACTATACAAAGCTATCCAGACAGGCTGACATAATATTAAAGCAGTTATTGACAACATGGTCCTCTCTCATATATGGAGTGAAGGCAGCACAGGTAAAGCCAATATAAAGCAATTAAAACAGACCAAGTTACATAGTGTAAAATGCAAATCTGATGTGTTACATGCTCTCAGTTCCAGGTGTCACCTTTTCTTCAATTCTCCTGAATAAAAATCCTTCCTCCTGTTCGCCACTTCTAAACTCTTGCCATAACATAATGCACACTACAGATTAAGAGGTTGGAGAAGGGAATCGGGAACTTCACTGCCTTTAAGTCAGGAGCAAGTGCAATAACTTGTACTCTGCAAGTTTAGCTAGCTATGGCCCACCTACTTCCATTGGGCTGGACATCAGTGTTGAGGGCAGTACTTTTCTTCTGGCTTTACCCCAGAGAAGTAGGAAGAAGGACTTCCAAACATATCCTTGAGAGGCAGTAAAAAGGTCATTTAGGCAGTATCCCCTCTCCATAAGTCTGCCAATGAGGCAGCCTATCCATTCTCACACTGACATTTCTGTCATGACAGAGTACATCTATTTCAACAGGTCAACATAGCTTCACCTGCTCTGTAAACCCAAATGAGGCAATTGCAAGAAGGAGATTGCTGAGATCAGACTGCTACCTGCCCTGAACAAGCAGAATTTTGTCTTCAGCAAGCCCAAAGGAGTCAGGCATCCATGCTGTAAAACATGTTCATGGCAGCTGGCAGCTTGAACATCATGAGCCTGCACATGGAGAGGGTGTTGGAGTGGCACTGACCTTGTTGGAAACTCATGCTTCCCTCTTCTGCCTTTCTGATATCACATCTCACCAGTGTGAAGGACTAATTCACTCACCAGATTTAGTCTGGTTTCAGGACTAGGCAGACATTCTCCTGCCAGCAGTTCCTCAGCAGCTTTTTATATCACTCTACACTTCTGAACATTTGCATTAGTTCTGCATTGTGTGGAATTATTAAATTTGCTGTATGTTTCATCCCTATGCTCATTTGCTCCTCAGAAAGTATTGTATAAACACTTCTATATTAACTGAAATATTTTTCAACTCAAAGATGCCAGCCACGTGCCATTACATTATACTTCCTCATTGAGTGATGCAAAGCGCTTTTGCATCATTGCATCACTGACTGATGCAAAGCACTTTGTATATATATGTAAAAACTTTGAGGCATATGAGGTATAGCTAAGTGTTATGTACAGGTGTATACTGCTTGTGTGAGGCAGAGGGGAAGGGCCAGAAACAAAGCCATGTGTACGCCAGCAGCACTTTCTGCTTCGCTCTCGTTTTGCACATCCTGCTCTATAGCAGTCAAGGCCGTGCTGCCACAGGCACCATGAGGCCCGCTGAACTCCTTAACGCCTTTCCACGGGGTGAGCCGTGAGACGGCAGCGCTGCCTTCTTACCGGCGAGGTCCAGCGTCCTGTCCACGAAGACGACGGAGGCTCTGTTGGCGGCCGCCCTCCTCCTGTTCCTGGCAGGTGCGAAGCCGGCCAGCTCGGCGGCCAACACCCTGCTGAGGGCCCCCACCGCGAAGCACTCCTCGCGCAGGCCCATGGCGCCGAACAGGGCGTCGAGCTCGACCACCAGGCCCCGCACGGCGTCTCGCAGCGCGGCGGGCAGCGCGCCCAGCCCCGGCTCCGCGGTGCCGCCGAACCGAGGGCGGGCGGAAGGCGGGACGAGGCCGGCCAGGGCGGGCAGGAGGCCGAGTTCGGCCGAAAGGGGGGCGAGAAGCGGCGGCCCCCGCGGCAGCACCTCGGCGCAGCCGCCCTCGCCCATCCAGCGCCGCAGCGTTTCCTCCAGCTCGCCGGGCCCGCCGCCTTCCGCCTCGCCGCACAGCAGCGCGCAGCGCCGCACTCCGCCCGCACCCAGCACGGCGCGTACAGCGGCGGCCGCTCCGCCCCGCAGCGGCCCGCTCAGCACGAACACGGCGCGCTCGGCCCCCGCCGGCCCCTCCTCAGCGGCCAGCGGCCTGACGGCAAGTGCCCCCGCCGCCAGCAGTACGCCTGCGCCGCCGCCGGCCCAGTGCAGCGCCTCGGCAGCCGCCGCGTCCAGGAAGACGATGGCGAGGCGCGCCCGGGCGATCACGGGCTCCCAGGCCTGGCGGCAGAGCCGCGGCAACGCCGGTACCGCACCGGCAGCCGCCATAACGGCGGCGGCGCTGACAGCCACAACACCGCCACGTGCCCCGCGCGCCGCCGGCGCCGTGAGGTGACGTGTACGACGGCCACGGGCTGCCCGCTGCGGGGCGGGGCTGCCGCCGCTGGGACGGAACCGGGGCCGGGCCTGAGACAGAAGGGAAAAGGCGGGCCGGTTACATCTCTTGGAGCTCTCCTAAAGCGTTACCGTGCGCGGGTGCTCCGCTGGGACTCGCTTCCGGGCTTTGCCAGCGGCACGGTGAGGCTCTGGTGGGTGACTGGGTGGGGGTTTGTTTGTATTCTCACAGCACAAGATGTGGTATGACTGCTTTCTTGCGTCTGCGGTTTGTTGTGAACTACGCTGCAGCCAGAACCGCCAGACACCCCACGTTTTGCCTGACACCCTTCCCTGCCAAGGCCGAGAGCTGCCTCAGTCTTGATGCTGGTAAATATTATAGCAATTCAGTGCGCTGTGCAAACATACGGTGTTAGGAGTGTGAAACTTCCATCACCCTTCCTTTCCCTCCATTGCTGCATTTCTTATGTTAACATGAACACACCCAGCATTTCGTGAGCAAGCAACAAGAAATACTCCTTTATTGTATCCAACTTTTATTACATACAATTGGGAAAAATTGACAGATTTTTCCTCTAAAAAGCATTTATTCTCAATTACAAAGGTAACAAGAAAAAAATGCAAAAGTATGCATTTGGATACGCATATGTAACTGAAGTCTACGCTTCAGTTCTTTCTCCCCAGAGAATCCCTCAAAAATCTGCATTCCACATAGTATTTCACCTAGGCACCCTCCTTTAGTACAGAATTGGGATACTTTTTCTGACATCATGAGATTATCAGCAACTACAAAAAGATGAGTGATATATCATAGAATCATAGAATGGCCTGGGTTGAAAAGGACCACAGTGATCATCGAGTTTCAACCCCCCTGCTCTTTGCAGGGTTGCCAACCACCAGACCAGGCTGCCCAAAGCCACATCCAGCCTGGCCTTGAATGCCTCCAGGGATGGGGCATCCACAACCTCCTTGGGCAACCTGTTCCACTATGTCATCACCCTCTGGGTGGAAGAACTTCCTCCTAATATCTAACCTAAACCTCCCCTGTCTCAGTTTAAAACCATTCCCCCTTGTTTTATCACTATTCACCCTCATAAACAGCCATTCTCCCTCCTGTTTATATGCTCCCTTCAAGTACTCCAGTACTTCCAAGGAACAATGATGTCTCCCCAGAGCCTTCTTTTCTCCAAGCTAAGAAGGTTCCCTCAACCTTTCTTCACAGGAGGGTGCTCCAACCCTCTGATCATCTTAGTGCCCCTCCTCTGGACCTGCTCCAAGAGCTCCATCTCCTTCCTGGGGGCCTCAGGCCTGTATGCAGTAATCCAGATGGGGCCTCAGAAGAGCCGAATAGAGGGGGGACAGTCACCTCCCTCTCTCTGCTGTTAGTTCATTCACGGTCTTAACTGGTCTTCCTAGGTTTCTAGCTGGATCAGCTGATTTCATAACACTGAGCATCACAACTCAGGTAGAATCACTAGATTTCCAGTAATGAAATTATCTCCTTCCCACCTGCTCCATACATACTGCCACCCTCGTGTATTCATTGTTTTTCCAAACTCAGACTTACCTATGAGCTGTTCCAAACCCAATTAGGCCATGCAACTTTATTATGCTAAAAATATGTAGGTTAATAGATTTCTGGACTATTTTGATTTGAAAAATGATTGCTAAGAAGAGATTGGGGGTGGATAACCACTGCGCCCCTGGGTTTATACACAAGCAAAATCACCCTCCTCCCAGACTGAATGACCTCAGAGATGATGCATCTCTGAGCACTCCATGCCTGAGTGCTACAGATGGAAGTTCAATATTTATGGCCTGTCCAGCTCTTTTGAATTATCGTATTAATCATATCACCTTAAGTTTAATTTTTTTTCAGTTATTTTGTCAAAACAGCAGATGCTCCTTAAAGAAAACAAATAGCTTTTTTACTTTAAAAGTTATGCATGTGCAAGTGTTAAGAGAAAGATTACTGCCCAGAAGACAAAATGAAATTTTGTCAAAATGAAATTAATAAGCATAAAGCACAGTGGCCTTAAGTTACAAAACAAATGTGTGTAATTAGTTTAATGGCTTATTTTATCGTATGTTCAAATTGATACCTATAAGAGAAAAAATAAATCTGTTTTAATGTCTTCTTGGGAACTTGAAGTCATGTTATGAGTTTCTGGTATGTAACCAGTGAGTCAAGATGTTTGTGCAGCTCACAGGGGTTTCATTCCATCCTCAAACTGTCCTCAAATTATGCAGGTCCTTGGGAGAAGCCTTGTTTTAGGCCCTAACTGCTGCTATTCCATGCAGCAGTAAGGAGAAACAGCAAGGTTCCTTCCAAAGTCTGGGACTGATGATGTTTTACCACACAGGGCGGAAGTTAGAAAGACATCTAGCCTGGCACTTTGTCCTTAGAAGCAAGGCAGGAAATGGGCAGAGATACCCTTTGTTCAACTATAGCTGCAGGTGGTCAGAGAAATTCCTGGAAGTGGAGGGGGGCTAGCAGCAGTTGTCAGAACTTGATCTTGTAATGCAGCTTCCACTGGTCAAGCAGCTTAGGATAACTTTTTCAGACAGGTCTTTGCTTGACAAATAGCTCCATGTGATGTCCATTTAAAGACCTCCTATGAGTAATACTGTATTGAGGAGCTATTTTTTTTGTTTTGTTTTTTAAACGAGATTTCTCTTTGATGTTTTCCACAAAAGTGTTTTCCTTTTATGTTCCAATCTGCATAATCAAAGGAACAAAAATACAAAGAGTTCTACCTGCTTCCTTTATCACAGGATCAACAGCAGATGTTAAATGGCCAGCTAAACAAAACAGGAATGAAAACAGAATAATACTGATGTCCAGGAAGAGGTACTGTTCAATACAAATCTGTTTTATGATAAAAAAAAAAAAAAGTGTCTAGATTTTCTTTTTCCCCCCCAAAACATCTCTGTGGACTCCACTGCTATCTGTATTTGGAACAAATAATTTGTGATAAAAATCTATCCAATTACACCATATACTACATGACCTGTACACAACTTCCAAACGTTTCTGTTGTCTCAGTGCAGTCAATTTGAAGACAAGGCTGCCCCACCCTCAGCTGTGACACAGTTGAACCCTCTCTTCTATTTTTCACAGGCTGTCCCGCTGTGAAAAGGACTTTTTTTTTCCCCAGTCTTCACAGCCATCTCAAGGTGGTGAATGCTCCGTGTGTGCACACAAGTGGTCAAAACTTGTTTTCACAGATGTCGGTACTTAAATTTTATAAGGAATCTTGCCGTCGTTAAGCAACATTCCCAGCTGAGAAGCAAGAACATCAATAAAAAAAGACTCACTGCTTCCCGCTGCTAAGCCTAAAGCACTGCCTCCAGCCGAGAGCCCCCGAGCCGAGCGCCGGGGCAGCGCACAGCACAGGCAGCGCTGCGTTTATCCTGCGGTTACGCTCCCCCTGGCAGCTGCCATCAGCCACCAGTAGAAGCGGGATGCGGGGCTGCACGGATGCTCGGCCAAGTCCTTCTGCCGACGTTCTCGAAGAAGACGGCACGCCGCGTGCCGGTGGAACAGCCGGGCATCCGGCGATGCGGAGGCGCACGGACACCGAGAAGCGAAGGGCAGCCCGGGGCACGGAGGGCGGCCGTCGGGCCGGCAGAGCCCAGGTGAGTTGGGGACCGGAGGGGAGCGGCCGGGCACGGTTTGGACCGCAGTCCCCGGCCTGGGTGCCGAGCCCGCCCCGTCCCGACCCCGCGCGGCCGGGCGCCGCTGGGCCGCCCCCCGCATGCCCGTGCCCAGGGCGCCGCGGGGCCGGGCCGGGCCCGCTTCCTGTGCGTGTCACTCACTCGGCGGGGGAGGGGAAGCGCCGAGCGGGCGGCGGCGGTTCCTCCGAGAGCGGGTCGGCGGGGCAGGGCCTGGCGGTGCTCGCGCTGCCCTTTGCCGCCCAGGGTACCCGCGGAGGCCCGGAGAGGTGGGGCCGCCGAGCCGGGAAGAGGCCGCAGAGCCCGGCCCGGGAGCCGGCGTCCCGCGGGAGGCGGCCATGTCTACCGGCGAGGTGGAGCGGCTGTCGGCGGACCTCGGCGGGGCCGCCGGCGACGAGGAGGAGGAGTGGCTCTACGGCGGTACGCGCACCCCAGACCCCCGGCCCCCCTCCCGCAGCCCGGCGCCGGCCCGGCTCTGCCCCGCTGCCTCGACGGGTCCCGGCGCGGTAGGCCGCGGCGTGCTCCGCCTCACCTCGCCGGGCCGCTGGGCGCGGCCCGCTTCCACCCTCCGTCCGTTTAAAGGGTCCTCGCGGCCCGCCACCCCCGCGGCCCTTCAGTCCCCTCCTCTGGGCCGGCCCTCCGCCGCCACGAGTCGCGCGGCCCCCTCCTCGTCGACGTTGTGGCGGCTCCGGGGCCGCCTCCCCCGGCGGATCCCGGCCCCGAGGCCTTCCGACCCCGCGTGCCGCAGGCTGGGCCGTGCTGGGCCTCGCCGCGTGCTTCCCGGCCCCTCGCACCCGGGGCCCGGCCTCCCCTCGCACAGCCCGGTGCCCCGGCGGGGCCCGGCGTCACGTGCTGAGCAGGCCCGAACTCTGTAACTTTGTTTGCAGCTTCAAGGACTTTGTGTTGGGACGCTCATAAAGCCCAGAAACTAAACCCTGACGCCGTGGTGGAGCTGTCAGTATGGAGCAGTGCAGGGCTCGGGGTTCTGTTCTGCTGCTTGCGTAATGTTGTGAAAAGGTTTTGGGTTGCAGGATGGCAAACTGCAGAGTTCTCTGGCAGCAGGTGTAATTTAGGAGGTTTATTCATGTCTGCTGTGCATCTCTTTTCCTGCAGATGAAAATGAAGCAGAGAGACCAGAAGAAGAAAAAACTAGGTGAGTCTGTTGGCTGCTGCGAGTCCTGCAGTGTGGCTATACATGAATTGTATCCATAGAATTTGTATTCCCAGCTGCTGCTCTGTAATACCTGAATGCTCACACT